CCTGAACTGGACTCAGCTTCTTTAAACTCCACCTGGGGCACCCCTCAGCCCTGCCCACAAGAGGGGAAATGAGACAGACATTATGGACTCTCCCAATCCTCAACCACTCGCCAATAATGACCCTGTTCCTAGATGGAACTGCCGTAAAGGGCCTAGTAGACACAGGGGCTGATGTCACCATTATATCAGAAACTGAATCCCTTAAATTCCCTCATTGGAAATACTGGCCAGGCTCACCACTAAAAGGAGTTGGCGGCATACAAGGTACCAAGCTGGTCACACGTCCAGTATATTGGAAGGACTTGGATGGGAACCAGGGCACAGTTACCCCCATAGTAGCAGACATTCCCCGTAACTTATGGGGCTGAGACGTCCTAGAGGACATGGGCGTGGTCCTTACCACGGATGACCTGCAGAACAAGATAGACCTCACTTTGCCCTCACAGTATGGGAGCTCAACTTTCAAAGAACAGTCAAGAGATACCAATGGAAGGTACTACCACAGGGTATGAAAAATAGCCCCACAATCTGTCAATTATATGTTAATAAGGCCTTAACCAACATCCCCAAGGACCTAATTGTCACCCACTATATGGACGACATACTGCTAGCACACAAATCTCACAATACTTTACAGGCTGCAATACCCAGTCTGCTTGCCGATTTAGAATGTCTAGGTCTCCACATTGCATGAGACAAGTTACAATACATCCAACCTTTCACATTCCTTGGCTACCATATAGATATGGTAATTAAACCACTTAACCCTTCCATCTTGCAAAAAACTGTATATACCTTGACTGAGTTCCAAGAACTCTGTGGGACTATAAACTGGCTCAAACAATTCATACCGGTCCCTGACTTGGAATTCCGGGCCTTGTTCTCCCTCCTGGAAGGCCATAATTCACCAACTTCAAGGATCCCTCTCACTCAGTCAGCTAAGGATCTTTTTAATAAGATAGATTATATACTCTGGTCTGCATCACTCCAACATTACAACCCAGCAAAACCATTACTGGCCTTGATCCTCTGGACTAAAAATGGTGTCTTGGGGGCGCTATGGCAGCAAGACCCCCTGGTGTGGATCCACCTGGCTACCTCGGACCTAACTAGGCTTAGCTCTTAAGTATGATAGTCCCTTCAAGTTATCAATTAAGGCCTGACAAACAGCCAGGTGCATATTCGGAAAGGAACCTGACAAAATTATACTGCCCTCCTTTCCTCTTAAGCATTCCCAAACATTATGGGCAGACCCTCTGGCTTTCCAACTAATGATGTCCAGGTTCACAGGGGAGTTGGATAACCATGCACTCCTGGATAAGCGACTGGCCAGCCTGGCCTGTTTGGAAATCACCACTCAGCCACATGCTTCCCCCTGCAGAAACTCCCTACCTTTAGCCACGCTAGCCTTCTTGGATGCCAATAAGTCCTGTTATGGCATTGTCATTCAGCACACGGGAAAGGATGACACCTGTTATGTACAAGCCAATCCCAGCTCTGTCCGGTTGCGGGAGCTCCTGGCCTTGTTAAAAAAATCTTCCAAGTCTGCCAGGTTGAGGCACTCAATATATTCTCTGACAGCCGGTATGCGGTTCAGGCCCTCAGATGTCTTCCCTTTGCTCGGGTAAAAGGCCACAAAGATCCCATCACTAGAATGATGAGAGCTCTCCAGATTATCTTAGATAGCAGACAATGGCCCTGGTACATCTCCCACATAAGATCATATACCAAGCTCCCTGGGATCTTGGCAAAGGGAAATGACAAAGTAGATAAACTTAATGTCTGTAGAGATTCCTCCACTAGAACAAGCCAGAGACTTACACCAACAATTTCACCTTTCTCCTCACAGTCTGCACCGCCTTCTACTCGACCTACCCATCTCTCAATACAAACATCTGAGCAGATCTTGCATTACATGTGCACCCCTTGCTCCCTTAGGCCCCCTCAATCGATATGGAGTTAACCCACGTGGTCTCCTACCCAATGCCCTCTGGCAGTGGACGTCACCCATTATAACTCCTTTGGTAATCTTAAGTATGTCCATGTCATTGTTGACACCTACTCCGCCTTTCTTTTCACCATCACTCAAGCCGGCGAAAAGGCCTCACATGCCATTAAGGAGGTCAAATCAGCAATGCTGGTAATGGGAGTGCCATGGACCCTAAAAACTGATAATGGGCCAGCTTACACCTCTCTACAATTACAATCATTCCAGTCAACATGGAAAATTACCCACTCCCTTGGCATCCCTTATAATCCACAGGGACAGGCCATTGTGGAGGGGGCCAACAGGACCCTCAAAGAAACATTACAAAAATTTGCTACCCGAGTCTAAAATGGACCCGCACCTGGCTCTAATTGAAGCTCTATTCATTATTAATTTCCTGTCCTTCGATGAAAATGGGTTGAGCCTGGCCTACAAACACTGACTCCTTCAGCATCCCTTATAATCCACAGGGACAGGCCATTGTGGAGTGGGCCAATAGGACCCTCAGAGAAACATTACAAAAATTTGCTACCCCTGAGTCTAAAAGGGACCCGCACCTGGCTCTAACTGAAGCTCTATTCAGCATTAATTTCCTGTCCTTCGATGAAAATGGGTTGAGTCTGACACTGGGCTACCATACCTAGGCCTACACCCCTGCCATTAGTGAGATGGAAAGACCCAGTAACATATCAATGGCAACTGCCCGCCCCCTTGTTAATGAGAGGGCAAGGCTATGCTTATGTGTTTCCTCAGACAGAAACAAAGCCAGTATGGGTTCCAGCGAGAGATGTGAGACCAGCAACTGACCAATGGGACCCCCAGGACCCAGAGACCTCGCCGCTATCTGGATAATTGATTTGCTCTTCCCTGCCCCTGCCACAGCCCATGATCTCTGGGCCTTGGCCCCCTCCCCGCCTATACTCTTGCCCTTATAGCTTCATTCCCCAGCCTACCCCACCCTCTATTCAACTAATTCTATGCTTGGCCTCCCCACCATGGACCCAGTTACTTCCTGGGAATCACTCAATGGCTCCTGGCCCCTAAATAACTCTCTATGTTTCACTACCAACAACTCATCCTCATGCATTGGGCTGTTCAACCTGACCAAGATTATGCCAGCAGCAGTGCCTCTAATCTAAAAGCATGGTTGACCCATCTTGGATCGTCACTTACCTACTCCTGACAGGCATAATTATTCTTCTCTTTCTACTTGTTCTTCATTCCCACAGTCAGAAAAAGTTCACTCACTCGGTGTATCAGGCCCTCAGAGCAATACACAAAGATGATTTCAACCCGCCCTATGCAGCCCGACAGACTTGGCTTGCACAAATGTACGAGGCCTCCTACAGATAATTCCCCACCTCGACTGATCCCCCAGGATGATACACCTTGGAGGGCTGGTAGTCAATGAGGGGTAAGCTCCTGTTGGGCTGAATCAACCTAAGCCAGGACATGGACGTGTACACTCATGCTCTAATGACGGGTAAGGTTCATGCCCGAATAGGACAACCTAAGACAGGAACAGTCCATGATCCTGGGGTCATCCCAAGGCAGAGCTGCCTACAGGCTCTCCCTGGACAGTAATTTTTAAAGAAAATGGGTGGAAACATAGCAGGAGGCCTCCAAAGACGACGCAGACCCAGAGCCCTGGGATTCAGCGAGAATTCACTTCACTTCTTGGTCTGTAAATAGCCCGCCAAAAGGAGCCCACGCCTCGCCTCCGTACCCTGTTGGCGAGCCCAGTGACTGCCAACAGACTGCGTGTGCATGGACCAATCAGAAAATGATACACTGACTAAATGGACTTCGGGGGTGGGGAAAAGGGAAATATAAGGCCTGCCCCCTCCTGCATTAAACGAGCCTGCGGCACCTCTCCTAGTGTTTGCTTCTACCCGACTCCCAGGGTCTGTGTGTTGTGACTCTGCGCCTCTTGCCCCCCCTAATCAGCAGGGGACCCGATCCAGGTGAGGGTCTTCACAGCTGGCCTGAGGAGAACCCGCAACAAGATGCCTTCCTCCACCTTTTTTTATGATGCTAACTCAGAATTTTTCTGTTTTCTCCACTAAGCATCCAGAAAGAGGGAGTTCAATTTTTAAATCATCCCTGTAGTCCAGCTTTTTTTAAGGACAGGGTTTCATGTATCCCAGGCTGCCCTCAAACTCACCATATGGCAAAAGAATACCTTGAACTCCTGATCCTCCTGCCTCCACTTCCCAAGTGCTACAATTATAGACACATGCCACCACTTCCACCTTGTTTTCCTGAAACAGTCTTGCACTGAACCTGGAGCTCACCTGATCTGGCTAAACTGGCTGGCCCCCAAGCCCCAGGGATCCTCCTGTCTCCACCTCCAGCAATTATGCCTGGCCTTTTTAGAGAGACACTAGGGATTAGACTCAGGTGAGCACACTTGCATGGCAAGCGCTTTACTGACAGCCATCTCCACAGCCCCTGGGATTTTTTTTTTCCAGGTTTAATGACACACACCTGTAATTCCAGAATTCAGGAGATGGAGGCAGGAAGATCAGGAGTTTTGAGTCCAGCCTGGGACACATAATAAGACCTTGTCTTTTAAAAAATAATAATAACAATAAGCTGGGCGTGGTGGTACATGCCTGTAGTCCCAGCACTTGGGAGGCAGAGGCAGGCAGATCTCTATGAGTTCAAGGCCAGCCTGGTCTTCACAGTGAGTTCCAGGACAGCTGGGGCTACAGGGAGACTCTGCTTTAAAAAGATAAATAAATAAAAGCAGGGATGGGAGAGACGGCTTGGCAGTTAAGAGCACTGACTGCTCTTACAGAGGACTCAGGGGGTTGGGTTCCCAGCACCCACATGTGGCTGTCCTAGTTTGTTCTTCATTGCTGTGACAAAATACTCTGACCACTACCAACTTGGGAAGGAAAGGGTTTATTTAGCTTACATCTCCCGGGTCACAGTTCATTTGGGAGCCCAAGGTAGGAACTCAGGGCAGGAACCTGGAGGCAGGAGCTGGAGCACAGGCCATGGAGGAATGCTGCTTACTGGCTTGCTCCTCTAGCCCCTGCTCAGCCTTTCTTATGCCCAGGGATGGCACCACCCACAGCGGGCTGGGCCCTCCCACATCACTCATCAAGAATATGCCCCTCAGACATGGCCACAGGCCAGTCCAGTAAAGGCAATTTTCCAACTGAGGCTCCCTCAACCCAGGTGTGTCAAGTTGACACTAAAGCTATCCAGCACAACTGACCCCTTGTCAACATGACACACAAACATCACTATTAAACCATAACTTTCCAATTTCTGTCCCCAAGATATGATGTCAATATCACAACATAAGACAATACAACCTTAAAAACTCCACAGTCCTTTAAAAAATCCAAACACTTAAAAGTTCATAGTCTCTCTTAATCTTAACTGTCGGTGGGCTTCTGTAAAATCCAAAACAAGTACTGTCTTATTTCAAAGGGAAGAATAGGGCACACCTAAGCAAAACAAAAGTCCAGCAAAGTAGCTCAAGTCTGGACATCTGGGATTCACTCACGATTTTCTGGCCTCCAAAGGGTTCTGGCAGCTCCACTCTGACTCAGCCGTCCACAGCACACACAGCTCGTCTCACAGACCCAGGCCAGCTCCATTCCACACCTACTGCGGTCCTTGGTGGTCATCCCATGGTCCTGGCATCTCCAAAAAGTTGGGGTCTCCACTGAAACTGAGGCTACACCTTCACTAATGGCTTCTTGCCTCTCCGGGTGCAAAGCCTCAGATTCTCTCCATGACCCCTTCGATCCTGGGGTCTTAACTACAACTGAAGGTGCACCTTCACCTTTGGCCTTTCCTGGCCTCTCACAGTGCCAAGCCTCAGCTGCTCTCTGTGACCCCTTCATGCTTTCAACACCAGAACCATGCAGGAGACTCTTACACATTACCAAGTCCTGCTTCTAGCTTGAGATAGAGGCTCAGGTCCCCTCTGTGTGCTGACTCTGAGGAAATACCTCCCAGAAGACTTTACCACAGTGATGCTGGTATCTTGTTACTTACAGCTGATTTTTCAGCCCCAGCTAACCAGCATCAATTGTCCCAGTAAAGCAAAGGTTTTGCTTCAGGTTCTGGTGTCTTCTTAATTGCAGCTGATTCTTCAGCCCCAGCCAACCAGAACCCACAGATTCTCAATCTAAAATCTCACACGAACAGCCCTGATAGTCTCCACTTCCCTGTGAAGCTTCACAAGCCAGGCCTCCATCATCTACAACTCTTTCAGCGTAACTGTTCCAAGCTCTACAGCAACAAACTCTGAGCAGTCAATGGCTTTTCCAGCCCAAAGTTCCAAACACTTCCACAGTCCTCCCAAAAACACCAAGGTCAGGTCTGTCACAGCAATATCCCAGTCTCTGGTACCAATTTCTTAGTTTGTTTCTTCATTGCTGTGACAAAACACTCTGACCAATACCAACTTGGGGAGGAAAGGTTTTACTCAGCTTACATCTCCCAGGTCACAGTTCATCAGGGAGCCCAAGGTAGGAACTCAGGTCAGGAACCTGGAGGCAGGAGCTGGAGCACAGGCCATGGAGGAACACTGCTTACTGGCTTGCTCCCCTGGCCCCTACTCAGCCTGCTTTCTATATAACACAGGCCCACCTGCCAGGGTGGCACCACCCACAGTGGGCTGGGCCCTCCCACACAACTCATCAAGAAGATGCCCCTCAGACATGGCCACAGGCCAGTCCAATAGAGGCAATCCCCCATTGAGGCTCCCTCAACCCAGGTGTGTCAAGTTGACACTAAAGCTATCCAGCACAGGGGTGCAGGTGCCTGAGGAAGCCAGAGGAGTTGGAACTTCCAGGAGCCGGAGTTTAGAGCCATCTGATGAGGTTGCTGGGATTTGAACTCTGCTGGGCCATCTTCTCCCCATCCCACCTTACATAACTTTAGGGAATCTTTCGGTTTCAAGAAAAAGAGCTTTCTAGTTTCAAGCAAAAAAGAGACAGAGTCTAGACAATAAAAAACCTTTATCTAGAAAAGAAAAAAACCCTTTATCTTATACAAAGAAGTCTAGAAATAGCTGTTACAGGCTCAAAACAGTTCAACGACATCAAGTTCAGCGTTTGCCTTTAGTCTTGTCCCTTCATGGTCCCAGTCATTTCCTGGAAGCAGCCTTCTCTCCAACTTTGTCAGCCTCCAGGCTATCTTCAAATTTCATTGCATCTGTGATTACAGTAGTCCTTCAAAATAAGAACCAAACATTGTAGGGGGAGGGGGAGGACCTGCCCCAAGCATAGCTAGGAAGGGTGTTGTTGGGTTTGGTTTTGGTTGAGGCAGAGTTTCACTAAGTACCCCTGGCTTGCCTCTGCCTGAACTCAATAAATAGACCAGGCTGACCTTTAACTCACTAGGATTAAAGGCATGCGCCACTAAGCCTAACAAGGAAGGCCGTTGTCCCCCATCCATCCGTCCATCTGTCCATCCATCCATCTGTCTCCCCTCCACCGCACCCTCCCCTTTCGATTTGTTTGTGACATTGTTTCTGGTTTGGGGAGGTTTTGTTTGTTTTAGTTAGGTTCATGAAAAGACCAGGACCACAAGAGACCACTCTGAGGTGAGAAAAGGAGAAATTTATTGGACTGCTCCCACTGGAGAAAGAGAGCAGCGGTTTCTCCTCTCAGCAGGCTGGATTTTATAGGATTTTTCTTTTGTAGGTAGGAGGAAGTGAGGCTGTAACAGAAGTGGGTAAGTCAGTAGCAGGTGCCTTGGTGGGGGGGGACCTTTCAGTTAGGTGTTTTTCAGCTTTTCAATTGGCTGCAATTGAAAATTACTGTTATGATTAGAGTATGTTGTTAAAAACAAGGGTCAGGTAGTTACTGAAAAACTAGGGTGGTTTAGAATGCTGCCGGCCAGGTTGTGGTTGCCAAATTGCTGGTCAGTAGTGATTCCATCTCGGTGCCCAGATGGGCCTAACAGTTTTGTGTTCTGTTTTGTTGCTCTGTTTTCCAGACACAGTCTCACCTTGTAGTCCAGGCTGGTCTTAAACACATTTGATAACCCAGACTGGCCTCAAACTCAAAGCAATCCTGCCTCAGTTTCTCAAATGCTGGGATATAGTTGTGAGCTACCAGCCCAGGCCTGAAGGCTACTTTATATATTTTTATTTATTATTTTTATTTTGTGTGTATGAGTGTATTGCCTGCATGTGTGTAAGTGCACCTGTGTCATGCAATGTCCCTGGAGGTCAGAAGAGGGTGTCAGATTCCCTGGAACTGGAGTTATGACGGTTGTTTGCCACCTTGTGGGTGCTGAGAATCAAAACCAGGTCCTGCGCAAGAACAGCCAGTGCTTTTAACCACTGAGTCATCTCTCCAGCCCTCTAAACGCTATTTTGACCCAACAAATCAAGGGACCATTACAGCTTTAGAAAATGGAAGAGAGTCGGACATGGGAGTGCATGCCCTTAATCCCAGCACTTGGGAGGCAGAGGCAGGGAATCTCTGTGAGTTCAAGGTCAGCCTGGTCTACAAAGCGAGTTCCATGCCAGCTGTGGCTGGGGAGACCCTGTGTCAAAAAGACAAAAAAAAAAATGAGGAATGTAAAAAAAAAAAAGAAAGAAAGAAAGAAAGAAAGAAAGAAAGAAAGAAAGAAAGAAAGAAAGAAAGAAAGAAAGAAAGAAAGAAAATGGAAGAGAAGGGGCTGGAGAGATGGTACAGCGCTTAAGAACACTGACTCACTGACTGTTCTTGCAGATGACCCGGTTCGATCCCAGTCACCCACATGGCAGCTAACAACTGTCCGTGACTCCAGTTCCAGGGGATCCGACAGCCTCTTCTGTCCTCCGCGGGCATTGCATGACACGGGTGCACTTACTTACATGCAGACATAACACTCATACGCATAAAATAAAAATAACTTTTAAAAAAAAAGAAAAAGAAAAAAAGAAAATGGAAGAGAAAACTGAAGCTCTCCCAGGTTTACGTCGCCACTTCCCAGAAGCCACCAGGGAGCCTCCTAGCTTCAGTGTCTGCGGGATCTTTTTGACGTCACCTTTTGAGGCTTCTTACCCACTTCAAATATGGCCGCCTAGGTTATTCTCCCTCACTACCTGATCCCCGGCGACAGTCTAACTTCGTGCCCATTTCCAAAATGGCCTCCTCTCGCGACCTCAAGATTCTGAAAGCGCACGCGCAAAACTAAGTCCGGGTCAAAATGGCGATGAGCTTAATGTGCGGACGCCGGCAGCTTCTGCGCCTCCTGGGGCCCCAGGGTCCGGTAAGGGTAGGCAGACACCGAGCGCTGTCACCAGAGCTGAGGCTATGGGCAGACGCTGGCCTGGTCACCAGGACCTGCATGGCATAACCTCGGAACCTGGGGTCGCCCGAGGACACCCGAGGGTTACGTCCAGGGGTGGGTGGCTCCGACCTGCAGGCGGGGGAGCCGGGCTTCCGTAAGGAGATGCGGGAAACAGTGCTGCAGCAGCGCCCAGCACCCTAGCAGCCCGCTGCACCCCTCTGCGCCCTGCATGCACCCCACTAGCGCCCGGCACCCCACCAGCGCCCTGAACCCTACCAGCGCCCCGAACCCCCGCTGCGCCCTGAACCCCACCAGCACCATTAACCCCCTGAACCCCAGCAGCGCCCTGAACCCCAGCAGCCCCTGCACCCCAGCAGCGCTCTGAACCCTAGCAGCGCCTTGAACCCTCCCTGCGCCCTAAACCCCAGCAGCTCCCTGCATACACCCCGCTGCGGATGCAGAGTAGCGGAGCCCCGACTGGGAGGGAGTTGGGCTCCAGTGGGCCGGGACTCTTCTCCCAGTAAAGGTCTCCATGTCCCTTCACTGTCAGCTCCACAGTGTCGCAGGGGCCCCGAACCCGCTGCCCGCCGAGCTCCTGGTCGCAGCCCGCCGGGGTTGTGGGCGACCACACTGGGTTCGCACCGCCTTAAGCCCTCGCTACCTGAGTACTTCTTCCATCTCCTTTGCAGAAGCGCAGGTAAGAGGCCTTTCTTCCTATAGGGGCAGGAGCAAAAAGTTGGAAAAAATCAGAACTAAGTTAACTAAAAGAGAAATTGTAAGCTAGGGGATTGCTTAGTGATAGAATACTGAGTCCCAGAGTCCAACCCTCAGCACCAAATAAGAAAGAGGAATTATAAGCATTGTAGTTTCAGGATACAGGAAGAATAGGAACAGTGATGCTCAAATGACTGGCTGGGAAGCAAGTTCCCTGTCTGAAGGGAAGTTATGAGATCATACTCTTAAGTAATTTCTCTTCCTGCCTGTGGCAAAAATACTATGTCCTTGGAAGACATGAATATGTGGGCACTGTTGGCCAGCCTGGGAGAAGAATCCAAGAATCAAGAAAACCAGTATTGGTTACCATAGAGGAACCTTGCTTTTTGCACATCCTGTTTACTGAATATGATGCTTGCTTTCCTTTCACACAGGCCCAGGCACCTTCTGTTGTTCCTGCAGCTCCCGCAATACCTGAGGTGCCTTCTGCAGAAACCACAGATGTGGTCCAAGCCGCTGCAGAACAGAGCTTCTCTGAACTGGGCCTTGGGTCATACACCCCAGTGGGACTAATCCAGAACTTATTGGAATTTATGCATGTTGACCTGGGCCTGCCTTGGTGGGGGGCCATTGCTACATGTAAGAATACATCCTGGACCAGGGAGAGGAAATGGGGATCTGGGAGTGAGCTAGAACCTCAAAAGGCAGTTCTGTAAGTAGATCAAGGTGCAGAAATTTAGGAATCAGAAAAGCAGATGATTCAAATGAGGGATGGATACACTCTACTTTTATTTCCTAAAGAACTATAAAACCATGTGATCATATGCGAGTCAAGGCATACAAGTATTTGAATATGAGCAGTGCGTTGGAGGAGTAAGGGGACCAGGGGGTCTTACTAAAAGTAATGAAGATACCCTGATTTAGGAGAATAAGTCAGATCAGGTACTTAATGCTCCCAAATTAGAAAGCCGCTCAAATTGCTGCTGTAAAAGCTAAAACTGTACTTTGAATTCTGTTTATTCCTATACCTTGCTCCATCTAAGACCAGTGGGATTTTTTTTTTTTATCATAAAAACTCAGTAAAGGGTTGAAATCTAGCATAATGATAGAACACTTGCCTAGCATGCACAAGACCAGCCTGAGTTACATAGCAAGACCCTGTCAAAAAACAAAAATCATCCAGGTTTCCTTTTTTAGCATTCACCTGTAATCCTAGTGCTTGGGAGGTAGAGGCAGGAGAATCGGGAATTTGGTCATCCTCAGCTGCATAACGAATTCAAGGCTAGCTTGATCTACATGAGACCTTCCTTTAAAACCCAGCGCTTGTGAGGCAGAGGCAGGCAGATCTTTGTGAGTTTAAGGCCAGCCTGGTCTATATAGTGAGTTCCAGGACAGCTGGGGCTACAAGGAGACCCTATCTCAAAAAAGATCCAAAAAAAAAAAAAAAAAAAATTGAAAAGCCAAGTTGATTTAAAGAGAAATTGTGGGTAGTATCTTGAGTATCTGTTGCTTGGTCTGTTTGGGTTTTTCTCTGTGCTAAGGATTGAACCCAGGGCCTTGCACATGCTATGCAAGTGCTCTACCACTAAGCTACCTCCCCATCCTCTTGTTTGTTATTTGTTATTTTGTGGAGTTTTTTCACTGCTGGAGACTCAAACTCTGGGCCTTGTAATTGCTAGGTGCAGGTGCCCTGCCACTAAGGTAAATTCCTAACCCCTTAAATTTTTTAGGTAAAGTCTTACTTTGTGGCCCAGACTAGCCCTAAACTCTTGATCCTCCTTCCTCAGCCTCTCTGGGGCTGGGGTTATGCGCATGCACCACCGCCCCTGGTTTCAGAGTCTTTGTCTTTATCCTAAGTACACAAACATCCAGCATACCCTTGTGTTCCTGAGGAGTGGGCCTACTTTCTACTCTTTGACCCTCCACAATCTGGTTTTCAGTAAACCTCACTGTAGCTGCCACTGATGGTGCTGCTAAACCCACTTTGTCATACCTGCCCTTTCTCCAGTTGACACCTTAGAGCTTAAAGTCCATCCTTCGGCTTTTGTGGAAATCTTTGCTCATTTTCTTGTCTTGACCATTTCTGCCCATGTCTGTTACCTGATACTTTACCTGCTTCCTTCAGTGATGGTATTCTGGTTTCTGTCCTTGGCTGCTTCTTAGCCCAGACCCATGTATGCCTGGAGATAACATTAAGCTAGATATCTGATGAAATGACAGGAAACATGAATGTAAGGAAAGGGAAAAGAAAATGCCAGCACAGCGAGCCAGATTTCCTGTTCCAGGGATTAGGAAAACAGCTACATTCCAGGTTCATTCTAAGCCAGATGTGGTGGTACACAGCTATAATTCTAGCACTTGGGAGGCAAAGGAAGGACCATGAGTTCAAGGCCAGCCTGTACGTACTGAGACCTGTCTCGGAAAACAAAAGCATTATTCTGTTCTAGGACATCCATAGCTCTGCAGAGGTGCTTTGAACAAGGTGAAGGTTTTGCATAAATGATCCTTTACCAAGAGCAGCTTATTTTGTATATTTTTCTCTACCCTTACAGTTGTGGGAAAAAAGTTTCCATTGATAATAGAAAAGTTTAGAGGCCATTGATGAAGCAAGGGACCTTCTGGTATTTATTGTTGTTTGGGGAAACAAACAGGATCCGTAGTCATCTGCTGGGGGAAGTTAATCCTATACTTTTGACACCAAGGCAGAGACGTTGAAGGAACTAAGGCATGTCCTTTACTTATTTCTGGGCCCCTTGGATGTGTGTCAGAGTGTGGAAAAGGCTGGAACAAGACTTCAGTGAGAAGATGGGCATGGTAGTACATGCCTTTGGTCCCAGCACTCGGGAAGCAGAGATCTCTGAGATCGAGACCCACCTGGTATACATAGAGAGTTCCAGGCCAGCAGGGACTACGGGGAGACCCTGTCTCAAAAGATGGAAAAAAGAAAAAGACTTTTCAGTGAGAACTTTGGGCTGTCTAGCTGCAGACTGCTTTCATTTCACCCCGTGCCGGCTTGTTTCCAGGTACCGTCATTGCCCGTTGCCTCGTTTTTCCTCTCATTGTGAAGGGCCAGCGAGAGGCAGCCAAGATCCACAACCACTTGCCAGAGATCCAGAAGTTTTCCACTCGAATCCGAGAGGCCAAGTTGGCAGGGGACCATGCTGAGTGTGAGTTGGTTGCAGGGCAAGCGTGGGAGAGCAGCACGTGGTGATATTCTGCTGGGGGAAAGGAACAGCCTAAACCGCCAGGTGCTACAGTTGGGCAATTCTGATAAACCCAGAGATTTAGCTGTTGCTTGGACCTAATGTGTCCAGGGACTGACCATGTTCAGTTAGAAAAAGTTCATGGGCCAGGAGATGAGGATGCTTGCCTTCACTGACGTAATCTGCAACCCAACAATTAATTTCCCCTCCCTTCAGTTTACAGGGCCTCCTCAGAGATGACACTTTATCAGAAAAAGCATGATATTAAACTCTTTAGACCTCTCATTCTGCCTCTGACTCAGGTAAGTGAAAACGTTTCCCTTCTTCCTTCACGCTGAGCCCTTCAAGTCTCCCGTTTCCCAGGTCTCCAGACCCCCAGGAAAAACAGGTGGTAATGATGTGCATGACTTTAGTACCGGGCTTGGAAAAACACCGTGTAAAGATGCCAACACCGTTCTCCTGTGTAACAGGCCCCAGTCTTCATCTCCTTCTTTATTGCCTTGAGAGAAATGGCGAACCTGCCAGTGCCCAGCCTGCAGACAGGTGGTCTCTTGTGGTTCCAGGATCTCACAGTATCTGATCCCATCTACATCTTGCCTCTGGTAGTCACTGCTACAATGTGGGCTGTCCTTGAGGTAAGTCCAGGCTGGCCAAGTGCCAGGCCTGCAAAGTAAATGGCCATTAGGGATGAAGTGGGTGTGCAGAATGCACATGTCAGGGCCTGGAGACGTAGAGTTGATGGTTTGGGGACTGGAACTGGAATCTCAGCTTTAGCTGACATGCACTTACTGTTCTTCTCCTCCACCCCTTTTTGGCAGCTAGGTGCTGAGACAGGTGTGCAAAGTTCTGACCTTCAGATGATGAGGAATGTTATCAGAGTGATGCCCCTAGCAGTCTTGCCTGTAACCATCCACTTCCCCTCGGTAGGTAGTAGCTTTGGGGCTGCCTCTGGGTAAGCTGAGCAGGGCTGCAGCTTCTGAGTACCCCTTTTTTCTCACCCAGGCAGTGTTCATGTACTGGCTCTCCTCCAATGTGTTTTCTCTGTGCCAAGTGGCCTGCCTTCGGATCCCAGCAGTACGTACTGCACTTAAAATCCCCCAGCGTGTTGTGCATGACCCTGACAAATTGCCTCCCCGGGAAGGCTTCTTAAAGAGCTTCAAAAAAGGTAAGGGGTATCTGGCATGGTGGTACATGCCTTCAATTCCAGCACTTGGGAGACTGAAGCAAGATTGTACTGTGTAGCCAGCCTAGGCTATGTAGTGGGCTCCTGGCCTATAGAACAAGAGCGTGTCTCAATGAGGTAGGGATGGGAGAGTCAGGACCAGGGGAAGATAGTCTAAAAATGAGGAAGGAACCTACCATCTTTCTCCCCCCACAGGCTGGAAGAATGCTGAGATGGCTCATCAGCTCCGTGAGAGGGAGCAGCGCATGAAGAAGCACTTGGACCTGGCCGCCAGAGGTAAGGGTCTATTTGGGCTGCATGCTTCCTCCCATTTCTTCTTTGCCTTTGTTCATTGAGATTTGTTTTCTCTTTCCCCCAGGTCCCTTACGACAGACCTTTACCCACAACCCTGTACTACAGCATGGAACGAATCAACCTCCCAACACTCCCAGCAGCAGCACCAGTAGCAACAAACCAAAGTCAAAGCAGCCTTGGCGTGAGACCCTTGGCTGACATTCTGTGCTCATTCTGGAAGAACTCTGCCTCTTCAAACACTCAGGCTCCACACAGACTTGACACTGTGTCCTTGCCCCAGACCTGGGCACTGAGGGACATGGAGATGTTCATTTCCGAGATGGATTCCACTACGGACTCTTACTTGTGTGTATTAAAGAACACTGGGGAGACAAGTGACCTTCCCGTCCAGAATTAGTAAACCACTTCTGCGTCTCGATGCTTATTAAATACGGAAGGAGGTTTGTGCTTCAGAATACTAAACAGGGTGGGCAGAGACTGCTCACACTCGCCTCTGCCCTTGGGAATGTCTCTGCTTTAACACAGCATTCAGAGCTTAAACCTCTACCCCACAGTTGTTCCATCTACATTTGCATTCCAGTCATAGAGGCATGATACGCAGACTATTATATGCTGATCGCTTTTCTTCTTTTGTGGTGCTAGGGATCGAACCTACATCTCTAGCCCCAAAACACAGCTCTTGATCCTGAGATTACCTATACGATTGGAAGTGCAGATGTGCTGAAAGTCTTCGTGATAGTTAAGACTGAAAGGGAGCCAGGGAGGATGGCTCAGTGGATATGAGCACTTGCTGCCTAAGTGTGAGGACCCGAGTTTCAATCCCCAGCACCCACGTAAAAGCTGGGCCTGGCCCTGTGCAGGCGCTCATAACCCAAGCACTGGAGAGGGTGGGAGGTGGACACAGGAGGATCGTTGGGGCTTGCTAGCCACCAGACTAGCTCCGGGTTCAGTAAGAGACCCTATCTCAAAGGGATAAGGTAGAAAATGATAGAGCTGGAGACCTGATGGCCGATGGCCTCGGCACATGGACGTACACCGCATACTCACAAAGACGAGAAGGTAATATTTTTGTAAAATAGAAGGTAATGCTTTTGTAAAATAGCTTTATATATAACAGTACAACAGTTTAGGTGTATTTGTAGAAATTGGTTTTATCACCCAGTGGCTGCTGGCTTGGGAGGAAGAAAGGGAGTCATTTAGTTTCCCTGTTTTGGTTTGGGGCTACCTAGATATCCCAGAATGACCAAATAGAACAAAGCCACTCAAACTTCATAACCCTTTTATTTCACACTGTGACAATTTCATGTCTCTAAAGGAGACAAGTTTGGAGCATTGTTGGCCCTAGTAAAGGAAAACAGGAGCAGGTCGGCACACCCAGGTGCTGCTGGAACAATCAAGCCCGTAAGTGGCCTGCTTCCTACAAGGTCTGGTATCCAACAAAGTCTGGAACAACATGTAGCAAAACAAATAAATTACTTTCATCTCTCAAAAGCAAGTCCAAGGTGAAGCTGCCACAGCCCAGCTCCTAGATGGGTCTGCCAGAAGATTGCTCTCCTTTTCCTTGGCTCTAGCCAATAGGAGACAAGAAGCTCCTGCTCAACCACATCTCAGAATTCCAGACTCTATTTCGACTTGGGATCTCGCTTGGGTATCTCTCCATCTTCCAAATCCATTTCTGCAGCAACTGACATGCATAGGATCTGGAGGTACCATGTGGTGGATGCTACAAAGAGAAATCTAAGTCAAAATTGGGAACAGTCTGGAGGGTGGAGTTCACTGGCACCGAAGGACTGGGCCTAAAGGGAGTTACCCTCAGTGAAACCGTAAGCGTAATAAGAATGGGCTAGAATAAAAGTGACATGGGAGTCCTAGGGTTGCAGAAAAAGAAAAAAAAAAAAAGCTATTCAGGTTAAAAATGCCAGGCTTACCCACGATCCTTCGAAGGCCAAGAGGTCGTTTGTGTTCCGGCACTCTGATGATGAAGAAGTAAAATGGCAAGCCTGAGAGCGCAATGCCAATGCCGATGAGGGAGTTGACGGTATCACTGTAAAGTGGAACAGCCACCAGGAAGATGGTACAGAGGCAGAAGACAATGGGGAAGAAAAGGCTGAGCTAAGGGTACAGAGGAAACAGCTAGGGTTAGCTGGGGATGTTCTTGTTTGTTTTGAGATGGTCTCACTATGTAGCCCAGGCTGGCTTTCAACTCACAATCCTGCCTCAGCCCCCTGAATGCTGGGGTTATAGATATGGGTCACCACATCCAGCTAGCTCCAGTTTCTTGATAACCAAAATAACCCTGCCTGCCTTAAGGATAAAAGCACTGATGGGCTGGAGATGGAACTCATTGGTGTAGCATTTGCCCAACGTGAGTCTGAGCCTTCTTTGCATCACAACATATTAGTGGAGTCAAGTCTTGGTTTTTTTTTTTATCTTTTTGAGACAGGGTCTCCCTGTAGCCCCAGCTGTCCTGGAACTCGCTATGTAGACCAGGCTGGCCTTGAACTCACAGAGATCCACCTGCCTCTGCCTCCCGAGTGCTGGGACTAAGGGCGTGTGTGCTACCACGCCCAGTTTTTTATGGGATTTTTGTTTTGGTTTTTTTCAAAGCTAAGGATCTTACCCAGGGGCTTGTCTATTTAGGGAAATGCTCTACCACTGAGCTATAATAGTCCCCATCCCTTTGTGCTTCTTTATCTTTGTTTTTAAGGCAGGGTCTCATACAGCCTAGGCTACCCTTGAACCCCTGGTCTTCCTGCCCTCACCTCCCAAGGATTGGGGTGACAAGCATGTGCCACCATGCCCAGCTTCCCAGCCCTTGTTTTTGTGGTTACAGATATGTGCCACCATGCCTGGCCTAGGAATGTCTTCTGAAAAACTCATGTAAGATTCCCCTATAGCAGCAGCACTGGCTGTTCTTCAAATGGAGCAAAGGTAGGGTAGAGAGAATGAATTACCTTGAGAGGCCGAGGCCGATCCGGCTCCTTCCAACGTAGATAAAGCTGACCCACAATAGAAAGGCCCACAAAAAACCAGTAGCTGAAGCTGTAGTAGTTAATGAGCTGGAAAATGTCCTCCACACACAGGTAGATCAATGCCAAGATGCCCTGGAAGCAAAGCCCAAGTCAGCTCTTCTCAGGGCCTATTCAGGAGCTTTTCACCTTTAATTCCTCACAAGCCGGTCCCCGGTGAAGCCCTCGGCACCACTGTGCCTGCCTTCTGTCCCCACCGCTGCAGCACCCTTGGTTTAGTATTTCCTTCCCTCTGTTAAAAGTTAAAGGCCTCTCAACGGGATCTTTAGGCCATTCTTCAAACCTCTGCCAAGTTAACATCAAAGCCTGCGGAAGTCTCGGGCAGACTCCACTCCACAACATCTGACCGTTTCTAGCTCTTTCTTGTATTACTCCACACCACAATGCTTTGCCATAGGACTTTGTGTTGCTACTTCCCTTACTAAAGACCACCTCTTCCACGGGCAACCCTAAACTTCATACTCTACTTAAAATGCCCTGCTCAACATGTTTTTTCAGTTTCTGCCAACGAGTGACGATTTCTTCTCTTAAAGACTACATCTCTCGTGGTGGTGCACGCCTTTAATCCTAGCACCTGAGAGGCAGAGGCAGGCAAATTTCTGTGAGATTGAGCCCAGCCTGATCTACATACCAAGTTCCAGGCCAGCTGGGACCACAGGGAGGCCCTGTCTCAAAAAAGGAATGGTAAGTAATCATTACACTGTATTCTGTGTGCCTTGTGCCTCATCTTGGGCCACAGGTGGTTAACATTTCTTAAAGGCGTTAGATTCTCTCTCAGAAGCTACACCAGCAGTTGGCATAGTACCCTGCTCATCGATACTCTTTAGGTCTAAATCCCCTTTATGGCTTTCAGGAAACTGGAATAGCTACATCTAGTACTAGCAAAATTCCCCCCACAACCTGGCTTTCAGTCTCACCCTTGAAGTGACTCACATTGAGGAGCAGAGAGGGCACGGGCGTGAACCGCTCAACATGGACCATGCAGATGGCATCAGGGAGATGGCCTTCTCTCGAGCCCACAAACAGAAGCCTGTTTAGGTAAAATAAGAGGCTGACTACAGTGTGGGGCACAGAGAGCACCCTGGTTCACCTGTCACATTATCTTCCCTCTCTGCCAATCCTTCAAAAGGTCTGAATAAAGAGAAGCTAGTTCACCACAGAGCTTAATGAGAACTGGAGGTTCTGGAGAGGAGAGGAAAGGGGTTGGGGAGCACTGCCTATCACATCTGGGTCCTCTAAGTTTGCCCACCTCCTCCCATAGCATCTCAGAATACCCTCCGTACCAGTACAAGATGCCAGCCTTACCTAGAAGCAGCCACAATGGAAGCATTGAGACCACCAAAACAGGACAATGCAACCGCTAGTGGAATTGTCCAGTTGAATATTCCAAAAATCTGGTCTGCAAAAGTCTAAGGAAAAGGAATCGATGTCATTAGCAGAACCTAAAAGGGGTGGAAGGAACGCACAGGTGTGTGTCTACAGTCCCTCTAACAGGACTCCAACCCTTCTTCCACAGTGAAGGTGACAGGACCTTCTTGCAAGGCCAGTATCTTAATAGTCTTCTCAAGGCTGTCTACTCCCTTTTCCGGGACTGAAGAGCCGAGATGTATCCAGAGGCCCACAACACACCCTCAACCTTCTGTTAGTGAAAGTCCTTTACCACAGCAACAGCATCGCTGGCCAAGATGTCCTTAATGTCTAGCACGCTGTAATAGGCCACGTTGGTCAAGAGGTAGATGATGGTGACGATGGGCATGGAAATGCCAATGGAGAGGGGCAAGTTCCTACAGCCAAACGGAAAGAAAGGGTATGTCAGTCCCACGCTGCTAGTCCTACTTTCCTTTTCTTGGACACGGTCTCACTGTGTAGACCAGGCTGACCTTGAACTCAGAGATCTGCCTCCCTCTGCCCTCTGCCCCCCAGTGCTGGGGACCACACCTGGCCCCTACTTCTCTTTTAATCCTTAAGACTCTGCCACATCATTCTTTCCAGGGATGGAGACATCTGTGTGGCCTAGTTCCTTTGCTTTTGAGGTTGCCTTGAAGTAGTGGCTTGAGCGCTGAACAATTAAGAACTAAAGATTAGAGCTGGAAAGATGGCTCCATTGTTAAAAGCACTGGCTGCTGGGCTGGAGAGATGGGTCAGTGGTTAAGAACACTAGTTGCAGTAGACCCGGGTTCTAATTCCAGCACCCACATGGCAGCTAACAACTGATAGTAACTCCAGTTCCAGGGGATCTGTCCTCTGCGGGCATTGCATGACACAGGTGCACTTACCTATGTGCAGGCCATACACACATACACATAAAAATAAAGTTAAAAAAACTTTTTTTAAAGCATTGGGGGCTGGAGAGATGGCTCAGTGGTTAAGAGCACTAACTGCACTTGGAGAGGACCCCAGGTTCGATTCCCAGCACCCACATGGTGGCTACAAACTGTCGTTAACTCCAGTTCCAGGGGACTCCAAAGCCCTCCCTCCCCTGACTGCCACAGCATTGCACAACACGGGTACACTCACATACGTGCAGGCAATATACTCATACACATAAAATTAAAAAATAATAAATAAAATATTTAAAAAAGCATTGGCTGCTCTGTTTTGGTTCCCAGAACCCATGTGGTGGCTAACAACCATCCCTAACTCCAGTTCCAGGAGATCCGATGCCCTCTCTGGCCTCTGCAGGCATTGCACGCAGGTGGTACATTTACATACATGCAGGAAAAACATTCATACACATAAAAATAAATACATTAGCCAGGCATGGTGCTGCATGCCTTTAATCCCAGCACTTGGGAGGCAGAAGCAAGTGGATCTTTGTGAGTTCGAGGCCAGCCTGGTCTACATAGTGAGTTCCAGGACAGCTGGGGCTACAAGGAGACTCTGTCTCAAAAAAAAAAATTAAATTTTTTTTTAGAAACCAAAGACTTAGAGGGAAGAAATACCCCATTAGAAGAAAGAGTTATGCAGCCAAGAGACATGCGGCATGATGGGGGAGTGTGTAATCCCAGCTACTCCATGTAACCCCAGCTACTCTATGTAATCCCACCTACTTCCCAGCTACTCCAGAGGTTGAAAAAGGGATGGCCTACTAGCTATATTATGTTCCAGCATAATAGCAAAAGAAAGGGGGGGGGTTCATTTCTACAGCCAAAGGTCAGTGTCAGGATCCCTTCTCTAAGATCATCAGCATTAGAAACTTTGTCTTAAGACTGAGGAATAGGAAGTCAGGTGTGTTGGTGCATGCCTTTAATCCCAGCATGTGGGGGGCAGATGCGGGCAGATCTCTGAGTTCTAGGCCAGCCAGGGCTACATAGTGAGACCCTATCTCAATAGCTAAATAACTAAATAAATAAAATGAATAAAAAAACATGAGGAGTAGGAGAAATTACAGAGGCGGATTGTGGACTCTCACATCTTCAGTAGAAAGAACAGTATGCGCTTCTGAACAAGGAGCCTGGGAGGTAAAGTGCCATTGTCACTGGTAGCCAAGAGAAAGCCATAGAGACCTCTCGAGATTCCTCAAGGCCAAAAAGATCATGACCTTTATAAATGCCCTTGACAGTGAGTTGACAGTGAGGCTGCTAAAAGAGGAAAGGAACAGATACTGGGGGGGGGGGGGGTGGGGGGTTTTTTGGTTTGGGGTGGTGGTTTTCTTTGGTTTGGTCATGGTAGCAAGGATTGAATCAAACGCCTTGAGCACGCTATGCAAAGGCAATGAGTTATAGCCCTAGCCCTTTTTATTTTGACAGGGTCTCACTAAGTTGCTCAGAGAGGCCTTGAACTCATTCTAGCCCACGCAAGCTTTGAACTTGTGATCCTCCTGCCCCAGCCTCCAGAGCAAGCCTGTGCCACAGGCCCAGGATGCAAATGTTGTCATTCTGCGTCTGCCCAGTAGGTGGAAGCACCACTTAAGCGGCTGATCCTAGCAGCCGGGTTCCTCCTCTGGTTGCAACTGAGATGTGTATCAAGAGTGCTTTTGTTCTTCAAAGTCAAAAAGTTTATTGGTCTGGGAACCGTTATTCTTTTGGAAAATTTAGAGAAACTATTTCCCAGCAAGTCATAGTTCCCAGGATCATAATGTTTTAGCGCCAAGAAAGGCCGTGGAGATCCTATAATTCACCCCCCTTAATTTTAGATAAAGAAGCAGGCAAAGGCTGGGGAGATCGCTCAGTCGATAAAGCACTTGCCTTGCAAGCATGAGGACCTGGATTTGATCCTCAGAACCCACGTAAAAATCTTGGGCAGCAGTGAGGGAAACAGCATACACTTATGATCCCAACACTGGAGACTTGGGAACAGATGGATTCCTGAGCTCCATGGCCAGCCGGTCTTGCCTAATTGGCAAACTCTAGGCCAGTGAGAGACCCTATCATCTCAAAAAGAAAAAACAGTGCACAGCACCTGAGGAGTGATACCCAGATTGTCCTTTGCTTCCACACGCACATGTGCACCTGCATGCGTATGAGCACACAGGTATATACACACAAAAGCAGATGCAGGCAACTTGGGTGTAATGGCAGGGGGATCACAAGTTTAAGACCAGCCTGGGCTACATAGTAATATGTCACAGAAAAAAAGAAAGAAAATATGATAATATAAGCAGTAAGTGGTGGCAAAGAGAAGGTCATCTTAACAAACATCAAGGTCATCTAACAAATCAATAGAAAGACAAATCCCAGGACCTTGAACTCCTTGTCCAGTGCTGTTTTCATTCTGCAAACTATAGAACAATTTAGAGTAACACTGAGGGTGATAGTGAATGACAAACAATCCCATACTGTCAGTATGAATTAGAGACAGGAAACCGGTTTTTGAAGTCTGTGACCTAAGTTTCCTATATAGGGATAAAGGTAAGTGAAAGACTGAACAAAGGAAAAAGAATTTGTGTGGGTCTCACTATGTTGCTCAGACTAGTTACAAATTTGGGGGTGAAGGCAATCCTCTTGCCTCAGCCACGAGTAGCTGGCAAGCAACTTGGGTGTTTAAAAGCACACATAAGTGCAAAGTATAACCTGCTTTAATTAATGTAGAAATGGATATTTTTAAAAATCTTTTAGGAGCCAGGTGTGATGGTACACGCCTTTTATCCCAGCATTCGGGAGGCAGAGGCAGGTGGATCTCTGTGAGACTGAGGACAGCCTGGTCTACATAGCAGGTCAGTTGGGGCTACAGGAAGACCCTGCCTCAAAAAGACAAAAAAATAAATAAATAAACCTTTTTAAAAGGGATTAACACCCGAGCATGGTGGCACATGCCTTTAATTCCAGCACTTGGGAGGCAGAGGCAGGCAGAATCTCTGTGAGTTCAAGGCCAGCCTGGTCTACATAGCAAGCTCCAGGCCAGCTGGGGCTACAGGGAGACCACGTCTCAAAAAGACCCTTTCTGAAAAAAAGCATATGCCAGAAAGTGCACATCTCAGCTTAGGTCCTGTGATCACGGACCAGCTAAATCTCTGGGTATTACACTTGCCGTCTGTTAAAATCAGACTGATGAAATAAAGCTGCAGGCACTGTGACGCGATGCCTGGTAACCAGCAGCCGCTCAGTGAGCAGCGGCCGCCATTGCTACAGGAAGTTAGTGAAGAGCTTACCTCTCGGGATTCTTGATCTCTTCGGTGACGTAGTTCAGTGTGTCCCAGCCGGAGTAGGAGAACAAGGCTGAGTACAGTGCCAGGGCGATGTCACCCGTTGCAAATGATGAGCCCTCAAAGGAATTCTCAAAGTTAGTTGAGGCTCCTGGAAGGTGAGGGCAAGAGAAAGACAAGAATTAATGGCGCCCTCTTCCTCCTTCAGGCCGACCTCCTAACCGTGAGAATCTACCAACAGCAGGTAAGTGCTGCGACGGTACCCCTGAAGGATGCGGAACAGAAGACAGGCATCTCCACAGAGGGGCCGCCCTGCAGAAACAGCAAGGATGTGGCTCTTGACAGGAACGACCAGGCGGCTCTCTAGGATAAAAAACCGCCACAGAGCAGAAAACGGCTAGAAAATTGGAATGGTGTCTGCTCCGCTAGCAGGCTGCCTCGTCTTACCCCCAACACCACACAGGGAGGACGCAGGTAGCAGAGGGCCAGGGCTCAGGCTGCCCAAGTCAACAGAGTGCTTGTAGGGAAGGCTTCACACCAGGAAACCGGGTACGAGTGAGCGTGAGGGGTTCGTTTCTGACTGCCTGCTTCCAGGAGCCGAAAAGTCAGAGCAGCAGCCCTAGGCACAGCCAGCGTAAAAGCCAATTCCCAGGGCATGGCTGTGACCCTCTTTGGCAAGATCAGCTTCCTGCAGGAGGCAGCATGCTAAAAGAAAAAGGGCAGGCTTTGGAGTCAGTCTGCAGGAGCACACGTCTCAGCACTTCTGCTTACCACAGGAACATGAACAAGATGTAATTCTGGTTTGGGTTTTGTTTTTAGGCAGGGTCTCATGTGTCCCAGGCTGGCCTCAAACTCTCTATGCAGCTGAGAATGACCCTGAACTCCTGATTGTCCTGCACTACCTTCCAAGTGCTAGGATCACAGGCCTGCACCACTCTGCCTGGCTTAAGATAGGGAATTTCTGCAACTTGTTTTCTTGTCTGTGGGAAAGAAATAACAGTGCCTACCAAATAAGGTACCAGGAGACTTAAATGAGGGCAGGCAAGAGGCACTTAGAAGGCTCACGGAAAGATGTCCCTCTGAGATAAGACTGCTTGCCTAGTGTGGCTTAAAACCCTAGGCTTGATCCCCAACACTTCAAAGAAAAAAGCAGAAAATGCTTGCAAAGGTTAGTTGCTCTTTTTCTTACCCTGGCCAAGCCTAACAATGCCTGTGATGATGACCGCGATCAGCGCCAATACTTTAGCATAGGTGAAAATGTCTTGGACCAGGGTTCCCCACTTGACATAGGCACAGTTAATGAAGGTTAAGAGACCTGAAAGAAAAATAATGATGATTGGGGGGCCTACCCTTCCTCCCCGGAGGACTTTAAACTCCCAACAACTTTCCTAGTAACAGTCACCAAGAGGAACCCTTCAGCTAAAGTCAACTGCATATTTTGGCTCTGCATTGGAAATGTCTGCTCCAGATTATCCTCACCTTTAAGTCACCTGCGTTTACAGCACCACCACATTCCCAACCCCCAGCACCTTAAATGGGAGTCACAGAACAAAGTGGCCAGAGGCTGGCTTGCATATAAGCATACACCCAATTTCCCAGTCAGAGCAATGGAAAGTACCTAGTACAGGATTAGTGATATATTCTGGTTCCTGGCTCTTTAAAATCACAGTCCTCCCTCCTACACCCCTGCACCCTACCCTCACACAGGCTATAAAACCCAACAGTCCAACTCTATGCTATTGCCATTAACCCTTACAAGTCCTGCTATGACTTAGCCAATATCTAGGCCATTGGGTCAGGATGTGGCCAAGGATTAGCATAGAGGCCAGATTTCCTGCCCATTGCCTGCCAGCTCAGCTGTTTGTTTTGTGCTTCACAAAATACTTGCAGCTAAAAGTTCTGTCGAATGAGGCAACTTTCCTAACTGGCTTATGTTCAAGCATGAGCCACCAGCATCCTCAACCCTTCTACCCTGGGCTCCAGGCAATCCCTTTACCTAGATGGGCCCTAGTAGAGTTCATGAACCAAACTTAGAGTCAAGGTTCTTAACAGAGCCTGACATTCTCTTGCAAAGTGTTATGTCATATAAACATAAACATTTTCCTAAGGACAGTCCAGGTTTTTCATCAAAATTTCAAAAGTAGCTGGAGGCAGCTTAGTGGTAGATCATGTGCTCAGCATGCATGATGCCCTATCAAATCCTATCACCAAAAATCAATGATAATCTCAGAGAAATCCATTAGCTCAAAAGTTACAATCCACTACTTTACAAGAAATTCAAGAAGGGAAGCCCACACAGGCTGAGGCTGACGGACAGCCCCAAGAACTGACAGAGAAGAAAGTCAGGAGAAACAACTCTGAGACACATCAGAATGTTCCTGGACCTACCAGCAGCCTCCGAGGCAGGCAGGCAGGCAGAACTGACCACCACACACTGTCAAATCCTGCTTCTAAGGGCTCCCAGAGCAAAATCACCATCAGCCACTCCCTAACACAGGGGCAGTCGCTCGCGCTGTAATCCCAGCACTGAGACAAGATGATTGCCTACAAATTCGAATTTGAGGTCAGCCTGGGCTACACAGTGAGTTTCAAGCCAGACTGAGCTACAGAGACCCTGTCTCAGAGAGGGTAGGGGAAAGACACACAGAAACCCCGCTCCCTATCTCGGTCCCCAGGCCTGCTTTTGTTTTGTCCTGGCCTCGTTCTTGCTTTGGCTCAGAGGTTGCTTCACTCAGGCAGGAAATCATCGTTCTATCTTCTCTCCATCCTTCCTTGTTATGCTCATCCATGCAAGCACGTGGAGGCCAGCGTCCAGTGTCTTCTTTAATCATGTCTCCATTTTATTTTTTTTTTATGTTTATTTTTCAGGTGTGTGCACACATGCCACACTATGCATGTGGAGGTCAGAGGACAACTTGTAGGAGTCAGTTCCCTCCTTCCACCTTGTGGGACCCAGGAACCAAACTCAGGTCATCAGGCTTAGTGGCAGGAGCCTTTACCTACTGAGCCATGTCACTGGCCCTCTACCTTATTTATTTATTTTATGTGTATGAGTGTTTTGTCTGCATGTATGTAGGTGTACAATATGCATGCAATACCCACAGAGGCCAGAAGAGGGCATCAGATTCCCTGGAACTGGGGTTATGGATGGTGGTTAGCCACTTGAGACCTGAACCTAGGTCTTCTGCCAGAGCTAAGGATCTGAACTCTGGTCCTCTTGCACAAGTGGTAAGCACTTTGCCCACTGAGCCATCTCCCTGGGCCCCTTTTATGCCTTTCTACTCACCACCTACACTGTTGTCTCGTTTTCCTGAGAAAGGGCATTCTGGCCCTATTCAGACACATGCCTTTGTACCTAATAGACATGACAGTAAACAACCAAACCTTATCACAAGGCTGGGCAAACATGTGCCCGTTGCTCCAGGCCACCCCCAGGCTAAGTTAATAATTAAAGACACGAGTGTGCTGTCTCCTCAGGATTCCACAAAATAAAATGCCTTTATCTTGCCCTCTGCAAATCTGTCGAATGTTGATCTCCCTCAGCCAGTCATCCATCCCGCACAATTCACTGGACTTCCACCTTCAGCTACGCAGCTGCCACATGCCCGTTCTCCCATCCTGCCACCTCTACTTACCTTCAGGCTCTGCTCCAGCTTATAAACACAATATACCATGTTTCCATTAGAAACTCCAAGCACAGATGCTCTGATGCTGCCCTATGCTCGAGGTGGGGGTGAGGGAGGGAATGGGATCCCCTACACCTGGAAGACTGTCAGGAATTCTAAAAATTCCTCTCCTTTTGGCTAGCAGACTATTGAAACAATGATCTCTGAGAAATTGGAATTTTCCTAGAGTTTCATGCTGGGAGAAGAAAAAGGTTAATGCCAGTGTCAACCAGAAAAGAAACTTGTCACCCAGGAAGATTTACAAAGTCCAGACCACTTTGCAGGAGAGCCTGGTACCAAGACAATGATGGGCTAATGGTGGTGAGATCATATCTTCACCAAGAGTGCTTAGCTAGGCACAGCTCCTGCCCTCTACTTAAAACTAAAATTAAACCTCATGTTAGTATCTACTGGACCTCTTGTTTCCCTTCCCAATGTGATCACATTTTATAAATCCCCTTCCTCTACTTTCACTCTTGAAGAGGGTATTGGATCCCATGTAACTGGAGCTACTTGCTTGTGGATGCTGGGAACGAAACCCAGGGCCTCTGCACAAGCGGCCAGCGCTCCTAACCGCTGAGCCATCTCTCCAGCCCCTTATTTTGTCTCTTTGACTGGCCTATTGAGGATGGGGTAGCCAAGCCTAGTTCATTAAGGCTGCCAGTGCCCAGGCTCTGACCCTAACAATTGTGGTGACAGAACAAGTTCCCGGTTAGCCTGCAGTGTAACCACAGGTCACAACACCGAACTGGAATAGACATCAAGAAACAGTTCCAGTTCACAGAGTGCAGCTGTGTGCCACAAGGTCTCTTCTCAGTCCTGTTCACGGAAACGGGCAAGGAAAAGCCAACACAGCCAATTCACCGTTTCCCACAGCAGCGTCCACAATGGGGATGTACAGATTGTTCCTATTTTGATCCCTACTGCTTCTCTGTATCCATTTTCACCCCTCTCTTACTTCCAGTGCTCCCCACGGCTGTGCTTACTTCTCAGCCACAGACCCGCCACCATGCCCTGATCTACTCTCTGTATTGAAGACGAAGAGTAGGGGCTCAATTTGAATGCAGAATCCTATACAAAGAAACCAGGGTACTGAGGAAACTGCCTGAAGAGGGCGGCCTCTCGCCTTCCACAGCTCCCAACTCCCTCCAGAGCTTCTGGCCCCGGGAGTGGGAAATTGGTACTGGCAGCCAGCAGTGCTGACCAGGCTTTTTGTCCCCACCCCTAGCGGATACAGCTGACCAGAGTCCCCAGAGCTCAGCCAAGTGCACTGCTCTCAAAATGCAGCCCAACCGCATGCTTTGGAGTCAGACATGAGAGAGAACCATAGAGTTAAAATGATGTGGAAGCAAGTGCAAGTTAACCTCCGGACAGAGACGCCCTAGCCTTCCACCTCTAGGGGCAGTGCACTCTCCACCCAACACTGGGCCAAGTCCATAGCACGATTGTCTAAAATGACCTTTAACTCTTGACCCAGGTGCTACTCCATTCCTGCTTTAACTCCAGGGGAAAGATGTTGCTCCTATAATATCTAAAGAGATGCCCCAGGATGGGTCACCAACCCAGCCTACGTGGAGCGTCATAGAAGACAAGGCTGGCTCTGGCACTAAGGCCCAGAGTCAGCTCTAGAACAAAATCCAGAAATTCCCAGACAGGCTGACCCCAAAAGACTGTCTTTAAGCCCACTGTAGATCAATGCTCAGGTTTAGTTTGAATACTCTAACAGTCCCACCATAAATCATGTCTTTATCTTGTGAAGTCTTTGCAGATTAAATATTAATAAATATTAATGGTGTCTCGGATATGTTTTAATCTTCTCATGGGACAACAATGGTGACAGTTGTTGACACTGGCGCTCAAACCTAAAAAAGTTCATCTTGTTATTCACTCTACTTCTCTATTAACATATGCTACAATTTTCCCATAATAAAGCTTTTCTTAATTTATAGAAGTGCAACATCTAACAGAATAAAATCAATTTTACCAAAACATACTCAAGGAATTGAGGCTTCCTCTTCCATCTGGCACATACCTTTAATCCCAGCACTCAGAGGCAGAGGCAGATGGATCTCTATGAGATAGTGCCCAGCCTGGTCTACACGGCAAGTTCCAGGTCAGCTAGGGCTACAGAGAGACCCCTCAAAAAGACCAAAAAAAAAAAAAAATTAACAGGAACTGGGGAGATGGCTCAGTGGGTTAGAGTGCTGGCTGCTCTTCAGAGGACCTGGGTTCAGTTCCCAGGACCCACATAGCACTTAACAACCATCTCTAACTCCAGTTTCAGTGGATCTGATGCCTTCTTCTGGCCTCCATGACATTGCACACACACAAGTGCAATTACATACATGTAGGAAAAACACTCATACACATTAAATAAAAATAAATAAAAAATGTTAAAGATACAATTAAGAGAGGTTGGCATCTGTGTCCCTTCTAAGACATGGGTCACATCTCTGAAGTGACAGAGGATGATCGCCCCTTTGAAGAGGAGGAGGGGGGAGGAGGAGAGGGAGAAGGAGAGGGAGGAGGAGGAGGAGGAGGAGGGGGAGGGGGAGGAGGAGGGGGAGGAGGGGAAGGCCTACCTGCAAGCAGAGAACTAGAAAGAGAACTAAGTGTCACTGTTCACTACATTTGTTAGAAAAGAAAATTC